AGTTACCCAAACTCTTCTCCTTCAAGATTGGGACACTTAACCCCCCAAAATGCCCAAGGCGCGTAGGGAATTGCTGGGAATTAAGGTCCACTCATCTTAAAGTGGCCAGGTTTGGACAACACTGGTCTAACTGATCTTGGCTGACTTAGGAAAAAGCTGAACAAGGTCATACAGCAAATAACAAAAAGCCTTCTCTGGTGGCCCCTAAACTTCACTGCCTCCCCAGGTCATGCTGTGGATAAGCTACATAGGATCAAAGCTTGCTAATGCTTGGATGGGAGACCACGAGGAAATCCCAAGTCTATAGGCTGGGTTGGGATGTTGAAAAAACATCTTGGGAGGAGGCATTGCTAGGTTTACCTGCTCTGAAGGTTAAAAAAAAGCCCAACATACAAAAGAGGACACATGTTTGCATAGTAAGGTACACGTTACTTGCATTTCAGTTTTACATTTTTAGGGATTTGGACTCAGCCACCTCAACCTATATCTTGGTTTGGTTTTAGTATTTCTTGCTTTCGATCATGTATAATACTCTTTTTAGAGAAAGAAAGGAAGCCCCTTCATTCTACATGTGAAGCAAATAATGCAAACACATCCCTTACGTGGCGACTTGGAGCACCAGCACAGGAACGATGTTAGCTAAAAACCTAACAGACTCCAATACATCACTGTAACGTTATGCTACCAACGACGCGCTAAAGGTCTATGCAAATGCTCCCAAGGAAACGCTCCCAGAGGCGTCATTTTCTGTTTCTCCCTGCAGTATCTACTAGAACTAATCCATTTTAATAAGCACGGAAGTGTTTGCATTATTGCCTGCACTTTTAACGTACCTGCCCATCCATTGCCTCTCTTGTACAGAGGTACCTCGGTTCCCAAACTTAATTCGTTCCACGACTCTGGTCGCGAACTGAATTGGTCGTGAACCGAATCAACTTTTCCCATAAGGTTCAATGTAAATATGCGTAATCCGTTCTGACCCCTACGAACGTGGTCGCCAACCGATTTTGGTTGCCAACCGAATCAAATTTTCCCATAAGGTTCAATGTAAATACGGTTAATCCGTTCTGAACCATACGTATTTTTTTTTTAACCCCCAAAAATATGAAACAAAGTACAGTACAGTACAGGATGAAGAGAGAGAACGCTAACCTTGCTTGAGGCGACTTCTGGCATGGAGGACAGGAAGGCAGGTGGGGAGGCGGTTACTGCTTGGAGGGAGAGCCCCCCTCCAAAAGGACACCGGGGAGATCTCCTTCAGGGGTGTCCTCTCTTCTTTGTCTCTTAGCTGCAGGCTCAGTTCTGGTGAAAAATCTGTCTTATGTCAGGTGTTTTT